ATGGAGCTTGAAGCTCCCCTATTGAAAATTCTTATTTGAATGAGAAATTTCGGTGTCCAATAAACACATATGGATCATACAAGATATATAAGAACATATAAGAACCGTATAAGAACCATATAAGAACTATATAAGAACTATATAAGATATATGAGAACATACAAGCACCATATAAGAAACTAGTGGAAAGTTTCTTATAAGTTTCTTATGTGGTTCTTATATATCTTATATATTTCTTATATAGTTCTCATATAATTCTTATATGGTTCTTATATGTTATTATATGTTCTTATATATCTTGTATTATTCATATGTGTTTATTGGACACAAGAAATTTCTCATGCAAATGATTTTTTTTACTAGGGTCGGGTGCGGAACGTTGCGGGGATGCTGGCACCGCAGGTACAGGTGGTGGTACCGGAGGTACAGACGACGCTGTTGGATTTCTCGGCGGCGCAGAAGATCCGGGTAATGCAACGTCCACTAAAGGCAATTCTGGCAACTGGTTACCAGATGTCTCTTGTTCCGGAGCGGGACAAACTCTCTGTCGCAGGTGGTCACCGTGGCGATGCCAACATGTGCCGTCATCTAGAACAACCTGTGATGATGATGCGCTTGCGGGGTGCACTACGGACGCAGGGATCCAGTCAGGCCCAGGTCGGAAGTTCTTTGCCCAAACGCTGTCACCCGGTTGCAGCCGTGGCCGTCGTCTAGCTCCATGATCACAACGTTGCTTGTTTCAGTTGTTTTAGTACGACCTTAGAACGGAAATCAGGATGCAGCAAGTCCATTGCAGTTTTAGGTTTCCGTCCCATTAGGACCTCCGCAGGTGTTAGTCCAGTGATCTCGTGAGGTGTTGTGCGATACTGCAGAAGGGCTCGTGAAATCTTTGTCTGAAAATCTCCCGAAGAAGCTTTCTTGAGTTTGTTCTTGATTGTTTGAACTGCTCTCTCCGCAGCCCCATTAGATGCCGGGTGATATGGGGGGGATCCTCATATCACGAATTCCGTTCCTCTTCAGGAATTCCTGAAATACAGCACTTGTGAAGGCTGGTCCGTTGTCACTCACGGTCAGGGCAGGCAATCCGTGCGCGGCAAATATTGATCGAAGACAATTCACCGTTGCCTTTGCCGAAGGTGAGGGAACGACCATCACCTCGAGCCACATGGAATAAGCATCTACGAGGATTAAGAAATATCGTCCTTGAAATGGTCCCCCGAAATCTATATGAAGGCGTGACCAAGCTTTTTCGGGAAAGGGCCAAGGTGTCGTTGCCACTGGTTGTGGTGCTCGCTGGTGTTCCTGACACACAGAACAGCTGTTGACCTTGACCTTAATGTCTTCGTCAATGCCATACCACCAAACGTGACTTCTTGCCACCGTCTTCATTTTGGTGATTCCTGGGTGTCCCTCATGCAGGAGATCCAGCACACTTCCTCTTAGGATTTTCGGAACTACTACTCTCGTACCCCATAGCACGCAATTGTCTTGCACGTTGAGCTCCTGCGTTTTTGTAGCGTAGGGTTGCCACTCTGGTGTAGCGGGAAAAGTTGAACCGGCCCATAGCACCTCACGTATTTTCGACAACACCGGATCTCGTCCCGTAGCTGTCGCAATAGCTTCTGGGGAGAAAATTTTGCAGTTACGTTCCAACATGAAAACATCTGCGGGCTTTGGCACTGTGAATTTCTTAGTCACCAGTGGTAGGCGACTCAGCGCATCAGCATGACCAAGAGTTTTTCCAGGACGATAGACCAAGGCGTAGCTGTAGCTAGCTAGTTTCAAGGCCCACCTTTGGATTCTTGGTGAACACTGTGGGGGAATGCCTTTGTCAGCGCCTAATAGTCCCAGCAGGGGATTGTGGTCAGTGACTGCCTCATAAGGTCGACCCCAGAGATATTGGTGAAATTTTGTTATTCCAAACAGGAGTGCAAGAGCCTCTTTGTCCAGGTGGCTGTAGTTCTGTTCTGCTGCCATGAGACGACGTGATGCGAATGCAATAGGCTTCTCCTCGCCCATGGAACTCCTGTGCGCCAGTACAGCTCCAATTCCGTAGGGTGAAGCGTCGCAGCTTAGCACAAGGTGCTTCGTGGGGTCGTAATGTGCAAGGACACCAGCAGAAGTTACCAGCTCTTTGCTTCGCTCGAACGCGCATTCTTGCTCTCCTGACCACTCCCAGCGTGATCCTTTTCCCAGCAGCCGATGTAACGGCTCCAGGACACTTGACAAATTGGGTAGAAATCTTCTGTAAAAATTAAGCAGGCCCAAAAAACTTTTTAGTTGCTTTGTGTCTTTTGGAGTTGGTGCCTTTACAATTGCTTCCCCTTTACTTGGCGAAGGGTGAAGACCTGTGTGGTCGATCAGGTGTCCCAAATACTCTACCTTTGATGCAAAAAACTCGCACTTTTCAAACTTCAGCTTCAATCCTGCATTTGTTAGCCGCTGAAGTACTTTTTCGAGATTTCTCATGTGGTCCGAGTCATCCACTCCAGTTACTAAGATGTCATCAAAGTAGACGACAACGTGCCTGAGGTCACAAAGCAGGTTTTCCATTTCTCGCTGGAAAATTGCCGGCGCTGATGAAACACTAAAAGGTAGCCTTGTGTACTCAAACAATCCTTTGTGGGTATTGATAGTGACGTACTTCCTTGAGGCCGGAGAGAGTACCACCTGCTGGTAAGCATCTTTGAGGTCCAACTTAGAGAACTTGATGCCTCCGGAGAGCTTCGTCCAGAGCTCTTCGACTCTCGGTATCGGGTACGTTTCCACCTGGGCTGCTGCGTTTATGGTGACCTTAAAGTCTCCACAGATTCGCACTGGACCATCTCTTTTTAATACCGGGACAATCGGGGCTGCCCAGTCAGAAGTCCTGACTTGCTTCAAAATTCCTTCCCGTTCTAGCCGTTGAAGCTCTTGAGTGACCAGATCTTGCAATGAAAAGGGGACTGGTCGTGGCTTGAAGAACCGGGGTCTTGATCCATCTGGCACGCAAATCTTGGCTTCCACGTTCTTCATCAAACCCGGCCCACCAGAAAACACCTCTGGAAATATGCTGAAAAGACCCTCTGTTGATGTATTATGTAGATTTACGACGTCAGCAAGGGTAGACCCAGAGCTTGTATCCAGTTTCGTCCCAGTAGAGTTGGGGAAGTTCCGCCAACGACGAACAGAGGAAGAAGAGCTTCTCGATCGTTGTACTTCACCAGGATCTCGGCGCAACCTTGAACCGGTGTCAACTCTCCTGAGTACCCTCTAAGAACGACAATGGAGGGGACAACCTTCACATCCGGCAACAATTCTCGTAAACGTCTTTCTTCCATTACGGAGACGCCTGCCCCAGTGTCGAGTTCCATGTCAACTGGTTTGCCTTGAATAATGACCGTTACAATAATTGGAGGAACCTGAGGTGCTTTCAGTTGCCACATGTTGTACGTTGGAGGATCATCGTCACTGTCCTGATCGTCGGGGTCGTCGAGGCTGTGAACTGTGACCGCCGATGGCGCCTTTTTCGACCGTCGTCCTGGCGAGTTCTGATAGTTTCGCGCAGCTTTCCCATCTTTCGTGACGCTGCTTGACTCGTCATAGGATCTTGCTGTGCAGACCGCTGAGAGGTGGCCAACCTTTTTGCCGTTGTGGCATGTCATATTAGCATAACGACATGCTGCTGAGCCGTGTGACTTTCCGCAGTGACGACACCGAGACTGTCTAGATGAGTGCTCTGATAGGCGATTGGTTTCGACAGCTGAAGTCGTCCCAGCCCGGCACGCGATTGCTTGGGAATCTTTCGTCGCGGCTTCCATGGCTACGACGACCTTGACCGCTTTCTCAAAAGTCAGTTCTGCATCTTCCAAAAGTCGGGTCTGCATGAGGTCGTTATTGATGCCGCAGACTAGCCGATCTCGAAGCATGTCGTTCAACACCGTCTTGAAGTCGCAAGAGTCCGCCAACTTCCGCAGAGATGCAATAAAGTCGCTCACGGCTTCTCCTTGTTGACGAATCCTTGTGTGGAACTTCAGACGCTCTACAATTACGGAAGGCTTGGGAGCGTAATGCCCGTTCAGTTTCGTGATAATGTCGTTATAGGCAACATCTCTAGGCCTTTCTGGAGCCAGAAGATTTCTGAGAAGCGAATATGTGCGTTTGCCACAGTTTGACAAAAATACTGCGCGCTTCTTTTCCTCTGCTATGTCATTTGCAATAAAATATTGCTCGAGTACTTCCTCATACTCCTCCCATTCATCCTTGCTTTCTCCGAGAAAGGGTTCGAGCTTAGGCACCGTAATCGGAGAAAATCCAGAAAGACTTGCCTTGCCAAGAAATCTGGTGCCTCTCCGTCCTCTTTTGTGTCTTTGCCCGCGTAGTTTGCTACGTTTTGCTCGTCGCCAATGTGATATTTCTAAGAAAATATCATAATTAAGAGACCGAACGCGAAGTGATGTATGGCTGGCTATCAGCCTCGGCTCGGACTGCCCGAGCACCCTCGTCGTCGTCTTTATTCACACCGTGCTCCGCACCTCGATACATAACAGTAATGATGATATAATTAATGCATATGTGGCAGCAAGCTGGACAAGAATAACGATAATAACCCCAAGAGAAGGGGAACAAGGGGGACAACAAAGAACACACGACTCCAAAACTAAGGTAATCTTGTGGAGGTGTGGTTTACAAGAAAATTGAGACTTTAGAGAAATCTAGGAAGTTGAGGTAACACACTAATTTTAGCTGAGCGGCATGGCTGTGCCATGCTACTAGTCAGAGTTACAAAGGCGTGCTGAGATGCGTCTATGACGGCTGGTCTATCAACCATTCAAGTATTTTAAAAAATCACACAACTCAGCGCGTGCGTATTCGTCGCTTCAGAAAGCGGACGCTTTCCGTTTGCAAATCAGAAGTAAAATGATTGCGCTTGCAATAATGAACCCTATGTTGTCCCCGTCCGGTAGATCGAGAAGGGAAAGAAACCGCGATAAATCTACGAGCATGCTATAGGAGGCAGTTTTATTGACCGGTCCATGGCGCCCCCCGGCGCCGGACCCTCACATTGCGAAGCAGTTAGGCGGTAGTCCTTTCGTTCCCGGAATTCCCGAAACCTTGAAGATGGCGCCGGCGTCCGGCTGACTCTGTAGCTGGTCCCGAGTTAGGCCAATGAAGCTCGTTGTCACGAACATGTCTTCATAGCGGGGACCACCAAAGCACAAAGACGTCACCAGCTGCGTGGGGATCTTCACCTTCTGAACAAGACTTCCTGGAAGAAATATCTCCGTAAGAACGCTTCAGTGCCCCGCAGTACTCTTGTTGTGCATGGAACGCAACTACGGGTGGTGTGTTTACCGCATTAAAAATATTAGACGTTTACAATTCTCTATAATGGCGAATTAGAGCGCAGCTCTTGAGGAGGAAAAGGGAAGGGTACAAAGGTGAGCGTATGTCCTTCTTCCCCCTCCGTGACGTGTGACGTCACATGATACGTGACGTGAAAATTCGCGTGCGATGTGACGTTAAGTCGCACGTGACCTCACGTGTGACGTCATTATTGGAAACGTCCCAACAAATTTAGCGGAAAGATTTCCCACCAAATTTAACGCAAAAGTTTCCCGCCAAATTTAGCTGGAGATTTTTACCCTCATGACGTCACACGTGACGTCAGGTGTCACGCGATGTGAAAATTCACACGTGAAATCACGTGTGACGTTATATGACACGTCATGTGAAAATTCACCTGTGACCTCACATGACGTCACGTGTGACGTCATTATGTGGAACGTCCTGCTGAATTTAGCGGAAAATTTTCAAACCAAATTTAGTGAAAGATGTTCCCGCCAAATTTATCGGGAAAACTGTTTCCTACTAACGTCACGTGTGACGTCATTATAGGAAACGTCCGATAATACAACGCGCGGTTACGCCGACGCCGACGCCACTCAACCTTGAAACGGGCGCCTAAGAGCTGCGCTCTAGAAGTGGTGCCTCGATATCCACCTGATGACGTCATAGAATCGTCATGTTTTCACCAGTCGCAATCCTGGCAGTATTATATGAACCGTGGTGGATGCTGCAGGCACTTGTGCTGCAGGTCGATCTCCCATTTGACAATCCACGGAAACTTCGGGAGCCGGAGGTTGGGATGTCGCCACGACGGCGACAGTTGCGTTCTCTTGTGTGCTTGTTTTTTTTAATGCGTTAGAATTTGTTGCTCAGGTGCATGCAGACGTCTTTCGTTTGGACGGTAGTGGTTAGGTTTGAACTAGTTTGGACTGGACTGTACTGGAGGGGACTGGTTCCGTAAGGTAGCGGGGCGGCGCGCGGTACCCGCCGTCCCCTTGGCTCTGTTTGTTCGCTCGTTACGTTCACCTGCCCTCTTACAAAAGGAAAGGGTCTTCTGGCACGTTTCCAATGAAACGCTGCGGGGGCGGGAGAAGAAGGGATTGAGCGGCCGTGGCGGTGGTACAAAGTATGCGACGACGCAAAACCGAGGCGCAGCGACGACGCCGCTTGTGCAAAACCGCCGACGCCCGGGAGGAAATGTTAGCACTTCGGAGATAACAGCGGGCAGACCGTAGGTGGTGATCGAGGGAAGCTGTGGTGGCTGCATCCGAAACCGCTGACGCCCATGAGTGCAGACTGAATTCCTAGAACACAACAGTATGTGAACCGTCGCGAGGTTGCAATTCCCATCCTCTCCTGGGCGAACTTCTAACGCATTTCATCGAGAATTAGCGAAACGACAGCAGCGATATCTGCATTTTATTTAACTTCTAACATCAACCGCCGCGATCGCGATATCTGACAGCCTAACATTCCGTCTTTTTTGTAACGTCCTTTTGTTGCAACTTCGGGATCACCTTCAATGCTTGGGTGGAATAGGACGCTAGACATATCAGTCGAAGACCCGTTCCAGGTACCGTCGTCCCTGTCGTTTTTGTCGTGTTTGAATTAAACAGGTGACAATAATGTGTCTTTGCGCATTTGCTGACCTTGCGTTGCCAGCCCTCAGATGAACTTAACACACAATCTCGGGCAAGGCGTTTAACGTCAGTATTATACTGAGAAATAGCGTCCATTCTTTTTTTTAATTATCAACTCTCTAATAAAAAAAATCTTTACGCACATATTTTTTTTTTGTGACAAATTAAAACGCAACAAACGTTAAGATTTGTTGGAAGAAAGATATAAGGTTTCTTTCAAAGCATCCTAAGCAAAAGCTACAAGCTCCGTGGAAATTGCTAGTTTATGGCTTTTCTGTGTTCTATGCGTGTCTTAAAGCCAACTAAGCAAACCATGCGCCAAGAATGCGGCATGACGTCCTGTTTTTAGAGCGCAGCTCTTAGGCGCCCGGTTCCGGCTTGAGCGGCGTCGCCATCGGCGTAGCCGTAAGGTCACGTGACCCCATGTCACGTGATCCCCCAGAGGTCACTGACCCCCAGGCCACGTGACCCCCGAGATCAGGTGAACCCCCTTAGGTTATGTGACCCCGAGGTCACGTGACCCCCTGACGGTCACACGACCCCCTAAGGTCACGTGACCTCAAGGAGTCAACTATTCCTCAGTACACTTATATCCTCCTCAAGAGCTGCGCTCTAGTCCGGCGTTACATGGAATTGTAAACAGCTTTCATTTCATTCCCTATGCTTGCGTTTTCGTCAAACTGACCAAGGCACGCTGTTACCTTTTGAAATCTATCTTCTTGACACAGACGAATTCACCCATCCTTCTCAGTGAGGTAACCTTCATAACCCGAACCTTGGTTGCCACTCCTCATCTACGTATGTAACCAATTATTGACCACCATATGCCCCCTGAAAATGTATTACAGTGTTAAAATAAAGAAAAATGCTTTGGTACCAGCTGAAAGTTAATCAATTCAAAAACGGCCCAGTCAGAGTATTGGGGAAGGCGGATTCCCCTCGCACGACGCGATTATGGCCTCGACTACTTTCAAGCTACAAAACCTGTGACAGGGTCGATCTTCACGACGTGGGCCCCGTTGTAGCATGCCACCCAAAGTTTGTCCGTTTGGTCGATGGTGACGCCGTCCGGGTGTCCCAAATCGCAGTACTGTTGGTGGTTGAAGTCCGCAACCACTTTCTGGTTACCTGCGCACCAATTGCGTTCGTCATCAGTTTCCTTATCTCGACGGCATAATTTGGCACGGTATCGCTCCGTAATTTCAACCAGTCGTCAAGCTAAGAACGAAGTACAGGCCCAGCACTCTCCTACATCCAACCAGGCGAGATAGTACATTGCAGGAGATAATCTGTTTTGACCACCTAAGTCAACTTGCTATCTTCTTTTTGTTCTTTTTTTCCTCGTGTGGTTGTCGTTTACAAATGTATATGTGAGCGTGCTGCCACTAAAACGTTTGTGAGTTCACCTTACTGGGGAAAACGGATAAAATTGATCGCGATGAAAAATAGAATTGCAGCGAATAGTCTATGAGACGATTATATCCGAAAAATGGGATGTCCGCAGGCGCAATGAGCAAGTGAAACGTCATTCTCAATTCCACGCAAGTGAAACGTCATAACAGCTGCTCAAAACCTTGAGCCGCAGGAACTAATCGTAAACTAAAACCATTGCGATGCCCTGTTGATGTTCTCTGACCTTTTCTCAATCGCCTGCTAGGGGCACAACCGGATCAAAAGCTGTTTGTTATTAGCAATATTTCATCATAGCTGAACAATGTCTTACAAAACGTAATGAGTCGTCTTGTAACATAAACTGGTGCAGACTAATCAGAAGGAATGAAATATTGCCGGATGGTTTTTAATATACCTATGATTGAAATTATGTACCCATTTCCTCCGAATATGCTTTGTACACGCGTCGCTATAGTGACCATATTGAAGCCAAAAATCTCTATGTTTTTTACCAAATGGTTTCACGACCAGAGATGAACAGCTGCCCATTTTCTTAGATGCTTTAGAACCAGCTTTCTCGAAATAAAATCAGTTGTTCATATCCAGGACACTCCGAAAAATTTGGAAGTCCTCAGGGCGGGGCTTGGGCGCTCGGTCGCCTCAGCCATTACTCATAACAATGACGCCTTGAATACTTTATTTGTCTTCAGACTGTCTCTGATAAGGCCAACTAATTTCATTGCTAGCAAGCCTAATCAGTGGCCGTTCTTGTTAAAAGTAATGGCTGGGTTGTCAAAATTGCTTTTTTACGTCTTTCTATTGTCCACTAATCCTTGAAACAATTATGCAAAGTGCACAGTGGGGTTCATCCCAACCAGGGTTTTCCCCAGGAAAAGAAATAAAAGAAAAGTGCAATTTTTTTTTTTTTGGGGGGGGGGGGGGGGGGGGGAGTAGCAGTAAAAATAGAGAAGCCGTTGCAAAATAAAAAAAAAAAGCAATGGCTTCTCCCCCGTCCTTCCCCCCCCCCCTTCCCCCCCCTCCCCCCCCCCCCCCCAAAGGGGGTGTGTAAGGAAATCCCTGATTCCGACTTCGCTCCCAACACCCGGCATATTCTCACCTTCACTCACGGCATTTTTGCTGATCCGGCCCGAACGCCATTTAGCCAGTTCACATTGCTGTCCCCGTGGCTTTAATACGGCATCTTTACATCATCTCCGAATAAAGACATAATCAATTACCCGCAAGTGTAAGGGTAATCGTTCAAGCGACATGCTAAGAAAAACAGATCCACATTTCCAGATCACATGTATAAAAGCAATGAATTGCCGGCTAAATACGTACTGTAAAAAAGTTTATCGGGAAGCGTTTATTGCTATTGTTATTGTTGATTTGAAAACACAACATAATCCGCTTGTAAATTATATGATAATATTTCGAAGAAATTCACAAAGTTATTAAACGCCGCGTGTTTTAATTTTTTTATATTCATAAAGCAGTTATGCACTACTTAGCTTGTCAAGCAAACCTACTATTTTGATTAAAATAAATGATACAACACAACACGCTCAAATCAAAAGAAACAATGTAGTACTCTAATGGACCTAGCTGCCTATAAACCCTTTTCTTTGGGAACGCCACCAAGCAGTGCTCCAGTCTATGACGTATATAAAAAGAATGAAAAAAGCCCACCTTAAGACCGCTGCTTGAAAAATCGATGAAACATTTACCACCAATTGTTTAGGCGAAAGCCAAAAAAACCAAGAAGCGCGAGATTTGTTGATTTTTTTTTTTTTTAATATTCTTGTAAAACAACTTGTTGTATCCGAGACGTTAGATCGTACAGCCGAAGGCCCTAGCTAAATCTCCAACTTTATTGTCCGTGTAGCATGTATGCTCACTAGCACTGGTGACATAAGCAAGCTTAACAGGCTTCCAAAAACGGTGCTACCGGAAGTCGCTTGGGACGCAAGCAGCGGTTCAAATTTGTAAACAGTAGAAGGGTCTATACGCCTTCGCTATGGTGCATTGGCGTGCTCCTTCTAGCATTCCGATGCGTCATAGACGTATTTTGGAACACTTGCTCGACGTATACCGGTAGACTGGCGGTCGTTCCTTACCCCCAGCTCAACATGCTCTTCGAGAGAAATCAACCTTTGATTCCTTTTCGCAATTGATTGTTGCTCCAGTGTGCGATCTCCCCTTTCCCCTTTCCCTTCGGTCATCGGCTTAATACAAGGAAGACGAGGACGCAGCGCTAGTCGATGTCATGACCAGATCTTGATTGCTAACCCTTAATTTGTAAGTAGAGCATCGCTGTATTGCTGGATTGCCCAATCTTGGAAGTCAATTTTGAACGAGAACATTCATAATCATTTCTGGCGAGAAAATACCGAGATAATGATGACGCGTCGAAACTGTCATGTCTTGATAAGTTTCATCTGTATTACGATTTTTAAGGTGGAGGCGCATCGTCACTTGCTTTAAGGGAAGTTCGGTCCTCTGACAATCTGCCAGAATAAGAGATGGTCTTTTGGGTCATCCCCATTTAATAAAAAAAAAATATCTGTCCAGGTTCTCGCAATAAAAGAGCGCGGAATCAGCACCCCCTTGGAAAGAAACCTACTGATGTCCCCTTTGCCGATGTCGAAGTCGTAGACGTACAGCTTCCTCGGTAAAGAGTCAACGAAAAACATCTTCTTGTTGTCGGCCGTCCAGGCGATGCCGTTGGGCTGCGTGATCCGCTCGATGTGCTTGCGGATGTGCTTCTTCTCGATGCTGTACATAGAACCCTGTTCCGGCTCCACGCTGAAAGGCTTCTTGTCGATGGCCATGGTGCCTGCACTCATGCCCAACAAGGAGTCAAGACGAATAGACGCGATACTATGTGCCCGGAACGTGCCTTCGACTGCTGTTTTAGATGCCCTATCTTGCCTCTAAGGCGGTCATCAAGTGGCGACAAATGACATCACGAAACCGGCGTCCCATGTTGTCAAATGTGGCGATCCTGGCAGTTGGTACTAAAAGTTCTATCCAAATTTATGAACCAACGCGAGCCAGTGTCGCTCTCGTCCAAACTCTTGGTACCTTAGACTTCCGTAGACTGCCAATTTAGATAGCAAATTGCAGCAGAACCGGCTTACGCTTCGTCTACAACCGCTTCTGCGACACCGCCAGGATGGCGGTCGGCGGCAACATGACATTTTAGGACGCGGTAAATACGCCGACTCGGAGACGCGTATCCAGGCACCAAGTGATCCGCAATTGCAGATCTTTAATTTGAAATAGCCCTTTTTTACCGGCCGAATGCAGGCACGGGCTTTTGTTTCTTCCAACCTCATCCAATAACGACGTGCGCTTGGCGGGTTTGTTATCGCCCGTTCACTGCGCTTTTTTTTTTTTTTTTTTTTGTGACCCTTTGATTATTTGTTTTGCGTTTCGATGCGCCATTTCATTTGAAAGCGCTTGCTTGCCGTGAAACCTGTGACAGGCTTAGAATTCGCAAGACGCTATACTTTTAGCGCGCCGTCGTTCCCTTTCCTGGACTCTGACTGCGCGTAAGTCGAACTTTAATCGAAGGCAGAACGTTTCCGTTGGGGGCGAAGCATTTACTGCATCTTTAAACTCACCTCGACTATATGGTGCACTAGAAGGGTTGTATTCTAGGGAACGCCAGGGGTTTGCCCTACGACCTTGGCGGACGCACTCACAAAATTTGGGTGCAACGGAGAGTTCAATAATTAGCTGTTGAAAGCTGTGAGCGAACCAAGATTTCGGGAAAAACTGTAGCAAGTGCAGGATATCTGGATCTCAAGAAGCATTAACATATAAAGATCAGAACGGCTGCTTCCGGCACAAGCACAAACTGCCGGTGGGTTTACTGCTGCCTAGACTGCACGGTAAGATCCCTAACTTATGGTGTAAGATCAGGGGTAATGAATGATTCTACTATTTGGCTGGATTTGGATTTGGCACGGCTGCGTTGTCCAATCCGCGGGCAAGAAGAAGGTACTCGTTAAGAGATCAAGGTACTTTACTTTTACCTGTCCATAGGCGACCAGCGGCGTCACACTTAGCGTCGTTGAGCCTCGTGCCTGCGTTCTCCGTCTCGACCATGGCGATCAACTCCTCGTGGCGCTTCTTCATGTCCGTCAACTTGACGTAGTGATTATGGCCGATGATGATCTTGTGGTGGTGGTTGGCCAGTGGTATCGCGAATGGAATGGTCCCCTCTGTCACCAAACAAATAGTGCTTCTTTTAATTGACATTTTTGGGCATAAGGACGGCCTATTGTGCGAGGTGTACGAACCTTGTTTGGAAATGCTCTTTTGCTGCCCTTCAGTTAGCACGGCACAGCGATTTTAAGCACCAAGATGGTAAGAGTGTCACTACTCTGACGCGCATTTGATTGTAGTGACTCTTGTCGTAACCAGGATGCCTTCGATGCTTCGAGGGCGCCAGGTAAAAAAAAAAAAAAGAGTAACAACGGTGCTGTGTCGTAGCGGTACTTCGCTTGACTACTTAGGAATGCGATATAATTGCTCGTCTTCAATGAAGGCTAAATTCCGCTAACTAAATTGCGACGAACTCTTTAGTGGGCAACCAAGCATCGCCTGTACGTGCATTTACAAGAAACTATAGGTTCCATTCCTAGCCAAATATAGCCCTCTCTCTCTTCTTTTTTTTTTCTCTCTCTCTCTCTCTTGAAATTAGGCCCGAACCTGGCCAGCGAACGACCTTCGGCACACTGACTGAACCATAGGCCCGGACAAACGTTGAGAAAGCGCCCGTGTCCAATTCGGGCCTCCGCTCGATATCGGTGCGGCAAAAATTATATGCACCAACAGGTCGCTATGACGTCACGGCGCTGCAATGGCGCTGCTTTCGACGTGGTGCATACTCGGACGCTTCACTTCACGAGTTAGGCTTCTAACCACCAGCAGTGCCTTCACTTTGTTAGGTTAGGTTAGGTCCTCCCTAAAAGCCGGACCACAGAGGGCGTATTTTCGACCTATTCACGGGCGTTTAGGCGGACGTGATCCCGACGGATTAGCGGCGAGATGTTTTCGTGGAGCCCTCGTATGGGGCTCTCTCGTGACATGATTACCTTGCGAACAGCATGTTCGTTGGTGTTTGTAATGAGCAATTTGGACGCTTGAAATCTTAGCACTCTGAAACCAACGCTGCCAGCACCGTCAAATATGAAGTTCGTAGATTACTATTATTTCTGTCGCTGTGAAATCCTTTGCTGACGTCATAGTCAGCACTCGATCAATCGTGGAAGGCCAACCACAGCGATGCTTTCGATCGCGCATGTCGCCAATTAGCGGCGAGATGTTTAGGTGGCGCCCACCTATGGTTCCCCCTCGTGACGTCACTACCTTGCGAGCAACAAGTTCGATAGTGTTTGTTATTAGCATGGTGGAAGTGTTAGCGATTAGGTTGAACAAATTACGATGAGGTTGGATTAAACTGCTTATTTAATTAAAACTTTGAGGAATACACAAATGGGCGATTTTGTAAAGGTTACATTTCTAAAGCGGTGCTGCGTCTCGCTCGGCGTCGTCCGATGAAATGCCCTTCACCGTGGGCGAGGGCGGTCGCCTCTGTAGCTGTTGCTTGCGGGCCAAGGGGGTAATAAGTACTAGGACGGGGCACATTGCAATATTGGTGAAGCCCAGTCATAAAAAGTTTAAACAATTTTGTGCCCAGCGTGACCACAGATCTCTCTGGCGATTGGTGCGCGTGACGTGTCACGTGTGAGCAGGGGCGGACGCAGGAATTTCCTGAGGGGGGGGGGGGGTTCACGTGTTGGCCAGCGTACCATTTGTTTAGGAACCTCCTCCCCCTCTCCCTCGTTTCACACCCTCAATTTTACACATGCAGAAATCAAGAGGGGGGTCAGGACATCCGGACCCCACCTCTAAATCCGCCCCTGCGTGTGAGATGGATGGTTGATTGTAGAAGGACTGTTTGCAGGCTTGCGCGCGCTCCGTCCGGTAGGTTTTATCAGATCGAAGGCTACACTGTGGTGTATTCTAGTACCCCATAGCAAGACGAAGGCTAGCTACGGTCACGTGATGTGGTCACGTTGGCATGGTAAGTGAGGAGAGTAAGGAGGAAAATGCGAAAGAGGCGAGGCGTCAAGGGAGCATGGCTTGTGGAGGCGACGCGGCCGAAGTCATGCCCTCTCCTACCCTTCTATCCTCCTTGTTGCGGGCACGCACGCGCGGCTCGGGTTTCACGGCAGAGAGGCCCCGTCTTGGGGGCTCGGGTATTCTCCATGGACCGTATAGCAACTTCTTTCTGGGAGCAGCCGGGATCGGAGGCCACCTACGAGCTTTTGCATTCTTTTCTGATTTAAAGGAGCTGTGCAACGATATTCAATTGGAATGTATCTCTCTATACACGAGCTTACTGGCACACCTGGGACTCAAGGATACTCACACGCAACGCCATTGGCCAAGAAACTCCTTTGTTGCGGTGTAATTTCAAGGACAAAAGCGATCCTTTTCATTCAATCTCTCCTTTGCAAAATTTGATGACGTAACTCGGGGGTCCCAGTACACCCAAGTGACGATATTTGAATGCGGTTCATAGATTGAACCCGAGCATTGCGTGGGCACTCGACTTGGGCTCGTGACAATTGCTAGCTCGAGAAGCATTCGGGTTTTGACCCGTGTCCAATCGCTGCAACGACGACAACAGCCGAGCCATAACAATGCCTGGAACTCAGCGCGTGTCCTGCGCTTTGCCAACCCCAGCGCGTGGCTATGATCAACACTGGCGGCATATAATCGGCTCCAGATCACGTGGCCGCTTGTTCTGGCTGCGAGTTGAGGGGGTGAACGCTGCTCGTTTTTCTTAAATTTTTTTCTGGAACTTCTGTTGCGTGGGGTTAAAAACGAACGCGTGTTTCATAGGTCATTAACGTTAGGGATCCGTTTTAAGCGGTATTTGCGCAAAGTACAGATATTGTTGCATTGGTCCTTTAAATCTCTTGATCGCTAACAGAAGCTCGAAATCGTTGCGTCCTGAAAGCAACTCTGCCAACACCGCCAAAATTAAAGTTCTAACGTTTCTCTTATTTCCGCCGATGAGAAGTCTTTGCTGGCGTAATAGTTAGTCTTCGGCCAATCGTGGCACGCCGATCACAGCGACGATTTCGATGGCGCACGTCGGCAATAGCGAGCGTCGGGAGTCGGGACGATTGCTTCCTCAACGCCTCAAGATCAGCGTAAATTTGCGCGTATTCGGCGATCCGACCGAGACAGATTTTGGAGCTCCGGCGTTTCTCGGCGTGACGTATCCGGAAGCGTACGGCGCGGAGCCGGCCAATCAGCTCGCTGGTTGACAGCCCTAAGTTGCTCGGGGATTGGCTTGCCTATAGCTTTGCGGTCGGCTGGCTGGCTTGGCTCAGCCGCCGTTACGCCGAAATGGGCGCTCGCTTGTCGCGTTCACCGGCTTATCGGCAAACGGTACGAAACTGCTATATCTCTTTCGAACAAGCGATGCGTCACTGAGAGAGAAGGTAACATCATCTATGTGGCAAGCGATATTAAAAAACTGATAAAAATAAGGGTTTTGAGGAGATCACGGCCGTTCATCTGTCGGGACTTGTTAGCAACTCGGCGATTGCAAGGTACGTGTTTGAGTCCAGCGCTAGCAAATTAGGGTTTCGTTGCGGATTTACACTCAGTTTTTTTCTATCCCCTTTCGGAAGGCGATAATATAGCAGCCCATTTACATTTAGTGCGAGTCGAGGCACACTGCACCAAACGTCGAGGAGACACTGACGAAAAGCGCGGTGTGTGGTTTGACCCACCTTCCCCTTTTCCCTCCTGTGTAAAAAAAAAAAAAAAAAAAAAAGCGCCCACCTAATGTTGTGATTACGCCCGCTGAAACGCGCGCAAATTCGTCGAGAATACGCCCTATGGGGATCAGCCTTAACTTTGACGAGCGGCTTCATAGTCAAGTGGAGAAACCTATTAAAAAAAAGTACTGTAGGTGACTACAAAAAAAAACTTTTTTGACCTTATTTTTGAGCTTGTGTTGTTATTTTTCTGTAGTTTTTGATCCATTCTATTACTGTTCAAAGATATATCGCATCGTTTTCAAGCCCTTTGTAAAATGTTGGGCCGGCAGTTCGACGTCAGTGTACCGAACGTCCAACTAAAGTTTTTGGGTGTATTATATGGGATAAGGGGTGTGAAGACTACACCCCTTTCTTCTGAGAGTGTACTTCCCGCAGAACGGAGGAGGGTTTCCCTCTTTTTCATGTGTAAAAAGGAAATTGAGGAAGAACTTCTTCCCCTCTAGCTACTCGTCAGCATTTAAAGTGAAACGAAATAGAATGCAGGGATTTGATCAGTCAAGGGGTCGTTTGCGAGACACTGTGAAGACTGCGGCACGCCCAGTGAGCGCTGGTCTCGGGACCTGCCAGTACTCGTAATAAGGGGAGGAGGACGGCACGTGTCCATCTCACTCTCCCGTACATCCGCATGTGTTTTGATGTGCGGACCGGAAGATTTTAGGAGGGTGGTTGAATGTAAAGAAATGCTACAGTACTTGAAAGGGTTCACCACGACGTGGCGGAGAGCTCACCAAAGTGTATAGTGTCGATGTCTTCGTGCGTCTCGGGGTCGAGCCTGCTGACGCAGCCCGCGTAGCAATCGACGTACAGCAGGGCTTGGGCCTTCTCGTCCCAGTGCGGTCCTTCGCCCATCTGGCACCGGCGCTTGGATGATACGCGAACCCGAAGTCCCGGCATCGCTGCACTTTGCTACGTTGTAGAAAAAAAGAGAGAAAAACAGATTGACATTGGATCTTTGAAAATTTTAACGCATGCAATGCATTATTTAGATAGTGATAGCTTCAAGATGACATTAGACTGAAGTTTCGGGGAGTGATGAATATCTAAATTGATCTCACTGTTTCAAATAGTGGAGTTACCATGATAGCATGACGTCATGTAAGAGAATGACGTGATGTGATCTCATGTTATTTTACGTCACGCAACGAGTTCCCGTGACGTGTTACCGTGATTTCAAGTCGCCGTGTCACGTGATGCCTTTAACTCATGTGAAGTCCATTTATACGCTAAATTTAGCGGGGAAATGTATGAACACACAGAAAAGTAATGGAGTTATACTTCATCTCACCTTAGCACGGACTAACTGCGAAGGCTGTACAAGCGCGAGCGGTTAGCTTCGACATCCTTGACTGGAGCACTCGCTGCACGAGGGCTCGTGCAGTCGTCGAGGCTTCATCCAAAGCAACTTGCTCGGGCTTATGGCACGCGCGGCTAACAATAGTCCATGCTAAGGTGAGACGAAGTATAGGGGGTTGCATTAAGCAACAGTAAAGGCTTTAAAAAGAATGCTTGTGAAACTCTGTTTCACCTTATGTTGTACCGCAGACAAGGCTAGAAGCGCGAGCTCATAGTGTTGGGAGCTACTCTTAACGCACGAGAGCTTGTGCCGCCGAGATGTGCCCTAGAGCAAGGAGCTCGCGCTTGTAGCCTTTCCTGCGGTATACATAATAAGGTGAAACAGAGTATAGAGAGTATTCACTGGAGGCCATATCCGTGTGCGCTGCGGCTGAGCGCGTGCTGACGGCGAGCTTCCGCAGTCCTTTTGGAGCGTGCATTTAGCACCATCAAGGTTGCCGGTCTTAGAAGGCTATTAATGTGAGCTCGTTCTGAGCATGCGCTCCAAACATCGCCCTCAACTATGGCGTCCAGTGAATACCTCCTATGGGGTGAGGAAATTAAAATATTGAAAAATATATATAATCCTCAATCGGTACTCTCTGCGTGTAGGCACAGCTGATATTAACACCAATTCGATATAAATTAATTAGATCCTTGGATCAAGTAAGAATTTCACCAAAAAGCCAATCAAAACTGTACTTAAAAAAAAGGGGGCGACGCCAAGAAACAGATTAGGAAAGACCGACAGGAAGAAAGGACCCCGCAGAACCCAACACCAGCCGAACGCCGCAATGGGGCCCAAAAGGGCGACACCAGTGGGTCGACGAAGGGCGAAGGGCAACAAGTGCGCCCAACAACTGCCGCCACAGCTTTTTATAATTTTCCCCTCCTCCTAAAGGGGTATTCACACGAGGGAGAAATCCCCGGGATTTCTCCCCGGCACGCGCGCATCACGAGATGAAAACGCGAGGCTTTTGCACATCGCAAAGCCTGACGTTTTCGTCGTTGGATGCGCGTGCCGGGGAGAAATCCCCGGGATTTCTCCCTCGTGTGAATACCCCTTAAAGAGGAACCACAATGAAGGGGCACTCCCCATTAGTTAAGGAGGATGTAAATAGAACAACGAACCGATTGAGTATTTTGTTATTGTTTCTGTGACCGGTGTTCTTTTGTTGTTGAGTGATTTAATAGTCGGAAATTAGTCAATCGCTGTACCTAATTTCGCGTCCTGATCAGTTTTTTATTTGGTATTCCCTGGCCGCCAGATTCGACTAGCGGCGGTGCTAAGCTAGAGGCCGAACCTTAAACCAACACAGTAGGAATTGCCCTAAAATAAAACGGTTTGAACACTACGCGCATATTATCACAGTCTTATTAGTTAAAAATCTTGCGACCTAGCGCGCGTGGTGGAAGCAGCTCAAGGAAGAAATCACGCGTGTAATCCCCGGTGTTATTTAAAAATAATGCGGGTCGTCTGGCATTGACCTTCTTGGGGTTCAGGGCCCACAAGCACATACGTGCTTTCGCGGGCCCGGACAATTCATGTACTAGATCATTATGCAATAAACTTATGCATATATGTTATGTATTTAGTCACTCCTTCGGAAAACGTGATGACGAAGTAGTAGGCATCGCACTGTTGGCATTGTCAACAATGCGATATCCAGGATTTCGTCATCAAATTTTGTGATCCACTCGGGGACGATATGAAATACCGTCACCGCAGGAATGTCATAAAGTCGAAATGACCACTGCGTGACCATTTAATTTGGAATTGTAACAATCAATGCATCGACATTCATTCTGGTATAGTGGCTTGTGCTAAATCATAAAGAAGTGTGGAACTAGGTGGATATACTAACGCCCGCGCGTGGCTATGATAAAGATGGGCGGCGTTTGTTCTGGCTGCGAGTTGAGGGTGTGACAGCTGCTCGTTTTTCATGATTTTTTTCTTAAATTACATTGGCTCTAGGAAAAAAAAACAACGTAGCGCGTGTTTTCTTTGGGTTATGATTGTAAATGAGTAATTCATGGTTGTATATGCTGAAAGTACCAAAACTCTTCAATGAAGCATGGATGGTGCATGCGGCACTGCGGGCATTCACGTTATGGGCTCGTCTTTTCGTGGGGCCAAGGCTGTCCTGAGCCAAAATAAATATCTGTATTTTTCTATCTAACACAACCTCGCGATACCGGCACGCTCGGCTGGCTCAGCACATATATCTATTAGATGAACACGAAAGAAAACATACGCTGCGATCACATCTACGTGGTTTCTCGGTGCACCGCAAACGTACCTTACAAAGCGGAATCACGACTTGGTCACACTCTATTATACCTTACGGGGAACGATGTTTTCTCGGAGCTTCTCTCCCTCGGCGCCCCTGAGAGTCCTGATCAGCGAAGGAACGACATTTTGACTCGCGTGGCCAAGCCGCGAGCAATAATCGCGTAGTTCATTTCTTCGTCGTTTTTTTTTTTTTTTTTGTCTCTAGATATGTGCAGCTAGAGTCACTAAATGAGCTGCGCTTAGAGTATCGGCACTCCGTTCCCCGGCATTGTTGTGGGCGCCGCCATTTTGGCTCGTATGCAGAGCAGACGCAACTACCGATCGTCATGATTCAAAATTGCGACTTCCTCAGATTTAGATTCGTTTTTAAGAAGGTCACGCAATATTGCTTTGCTCTGTCACGAACTGTTTAAACATTTTTGGAGGGCGGAAAGGCGTTTCCTGTGATTTCAGATAAAGCTTCCGATAACTGGCAACCATGATTTTAAGACACAATATGGCCAAGTGTCGGTACTCTGAAGCGTAGCTTATTTAGTGGCACTATGTGCAGCATTGTGTGAGTATTGTTTACTTTAGAGCCACTAAATAGAGCTACGCTTAGAGTATCGGCCATCTGTTCCCCGACATTGTTATGGTCGCCGCCATCTTGTGGATTGGGCAGATTAGACGCAACTGCCGATCGCCATGATTCAGAACCGCAACTTCCTCAGCTTTAGATTTGTTGGTGCGAAGCTCATGTAATATGGATTGGCTCAGACACGAACTTCTTTATGGGGGACAAAAAAGCGTTTCCTGTGATTTCAAATAAAGCTTGAGATAACTGGCAACCTTTATTTAAAGCCTTGTTAACACTAACACCTTGTAATACCCTATTCACACGAGCATAAAGGTCCCTTTAGCAAAGGGACCTTTATGGCGAAAGGCGAATCAGTTCGCGATCCTCCGCGCGTGGCATATGCTCGCGATCTACTAGCGCGGGCTGATTCGCTGGCTGCAAAGGAACAAAACAGAACGCAATAAAACGTCTTATTGTCTCTGAGACAACGCGCTGGCCCATGAATTCATATTTACCCGGTTTAAATATCGGCCGAGGTGCCCGCAATCCGACGGAGGCCGATCGGAGATTTCGGTTGCACATCAAAAGATATCTAGTTGGTCCAAATGTACCGGCAATATCTTTTTATTAAGGCGTGTTTAGTGATTTTTGTTGGTTTGGCTTGTAAAACCCAAAGATCTGAATATTTGCTTTGCTTTACCTTAGTTCGGAGCGCAGCCAGCGCTACGGGCTGATGAAGCCACTGAAGCAGCGCCAAGAGCATGGGGACAAGCAGTTCGTTCTCTTTCTGTGCCTGTGCGGTCGGGCTAAACTAGAGCCACTATATACGCTACGCTTCATACAAATCTTGGTGCTTAAGATGATGGTTGTCAGTTATCTGAAGCATTATCTGAAATCACAGGAAACGCTTTTCCGTCCTTCAGAAGTGTTTACACAATTCTTGACAATGCAAAGCAATATTACGTGAGCTTACTATACTTCGTTTCAGCTTCGGTCCAGACGCAGACAAAGCTACAAGCGCGAGCTCCGGGCTTTCAGCATCCCTGCCAAGCACGCGCGCTCGTGCAGTGCAAGCACTGTTCTGGGCCACATGCTCGCGCTTGTAGCATCGGCTGCGTCTGGACCGAAGCTGAAACGAAGTATATATAACACCGGCACTAATGCTGTGGAAGTCACACTTTTGAATCATGACGTTCGGCAGTTACGTTTGATTTGTACTAACCACCAAGATGCAGCGCCCACAACAATATCGGGGAAAAGAGTGCCGACACTCTAAGCGCAGCTCATTTGGTTTAGCTCACAGGCCAAACCAAGTACGATGGGGGATCGTTGGCCGAGTGTGTTGTGGCACCGCAGATCAGAGCACGTAGGAAAACTCGCCAGTGCGAGCTCCGTTCAAAGAACGTAGCTCAAGCTGCAGAACCTGTAGGGACTAGGGTGCCTTCATGTGCGCTCTGCTTAGGGTGGTGGCATCTCGCCATTTTGTCACACACGTTTATTTTTATTTTTTGTTCAGAAGCGCGTGAAAGAGCGTGTCCCTGCACGCGCTTGTGGCGCTGACTGTGCTATGGCGACATTTTGTTTTCGTCGATTTCTTTGTATTTTTCCCGTGAGCGCGTGCTGTCGGCATGTGGTACTACAAAGGGTGGCATCACCCTAAACAGAAGGACATTGAGGCACCTTAGTAGGGACTAAAGCCCCTCGATGTGTTTT